GAGGCCGTCCGGGCGGCTCTCCCGCGTTCCCAGCGCGAGCTGCTCCCCGACGCTCACCCTCTGGTCATACCGACCCGGTAACATGTCCAGCGAGACCATCACCTATAGAAAACCACTCACCCTCAATCAGTGCAGCTGCTGCTCAATCCCGCCAGCCCTCTGGGCGTAGGTGGTTCGACGAGTGTTGTCTGCTTTCTTCCATGACCCCTTCTCCCTCTACGCCGGGGGTCGCGAGGCGCTAGAGCTCCCAAGATGGCCCAAGATGGCTCCAAGAGGGCCTCAGAAACCCCGAACTGTCCTCCAGGATGCCCCAAGATAGTCTAACATGGTTCAAGATATCCTCCGACATGCCTTTAAGAGTCACCAAGACAGCCCCAAGACGGTTCCAAGTGCCCTTCGAGCCTCCCTAGGCATCCTCCAAGATGCCAAAATCGCGTTCTTCAAACAAAACAGAATAAGAAAACAACACAACTAGGGAAAGCACATGCTGTTTTGCCTGCTTGCGTCTTCGCTTCTTGCTGGCCCCCAGAGGCCCCAAGAGCATTCAAGCGCGCTCCAAGAGCAGCCCAAGAGGGCCCCAAGACGCAATTTTTGAGCCTCCGGGGGGGAGGGGGGGGGGCCTGAATTTAGGACCCCCTCTCTTTTTGAGCCATGGGGCCCAAGAGGCCTCCCTGACCTCTCCAATGAGCCCTAAGAGGGCTCCAGGACCCCCAAAATGAGCCTCAAGAGGGCCCCGAGAGTGTCCCGAAAGGCCCCACGGGGACCCCAAGAGAGCCCGTAAAATTGCCGCAATCGGCCTTCAAGGGCCTCTCACAACAACATATATCCAACGTTCGACTTCTCATCCTCCGCGTCATCGTCCGTTCCTTCCCTCCTTCTTTCCTGCCTCCTCCCTCCCCCTCCTCCTCCTCCTCCTCCTCGTCCTCCTCCTCCTCCACCTCCTCCTCCTCCTCCTTCTTCTCCTCCTCCTCCTCCTTCTCGTGCCACATTCCTCCTCATCCTCCTCTTTTTCCTCCTCTTCCTCCTTCTCTCTTCCTTCCTCCTCCTTACCCCCAAGATGGTCCCAGGAGGTCGAGCATGGCTCAAGATAGCCTCCGACAGACTTCCAAGGGGCCTCAAGACAGCTTCAAGCTAATCCAAAATAATTAAACGTGGTTCACGATAGCCTCTAGCTGAGCATGGCCCAAGATTGCCTCCAAGAGGCCTCAGGAAAGCGTGCAATCGTGTGTGCATGGGCTGGTGGGGATACTTTTTAGTCAGCGGCCGCAGGCGAGCGCGCCAGCGACAAGTCCAGTCAGAGCGGGGCGCGCAAAGACGAATTAACCGAAAACGGTGGACCGGAGCCTCACGTAACACCTCAGCGGCCGGGCCGGCGAGTGGGAAAGGCCTGACAACAAACTGGGGAGCAGTACTGCCAGGGTGCACGCATGCAACGCGTCGAAAGCAGCTGGCGTCCAGGGTGACCGGCGGCCAGGGACTGCATGACGCGTGGAAATTAGGTGCAATGGCGTAGGCCCCCGTAGGACTACGGAAGTACCAGGGTGGCCGCAGCCAAGTGAACCGACTGCCGTTGGTCGAATTGTGTGCACTGGTGGGGATTTTTTTTTTGATTGGCGGCTCGAAGGACAGATCCAGCGGGCGGGAATATATCGTCTGGGGCACAGAGCGAGATAATTGGTTGCAGAGGCGCATAGGCCGCTGTAGCGAGTGCACATGCCAGGGACAAAATGACCCTCATTGGGGGCTGGCGCAGGCGGCCCGACAGACGGGGACGCAAACACAGAACCGGAAGCGGACGGAAAGGAGCTGTCGCACACGTGGCGCCAAGCTCCGACCGTACCGTACAGCGCGACAGGGCGTGGAGCACGCCGCACTGTGGCGGCACAGGGTGGCCAGGCGTGGCCGCACCGTCCATGCAACAAAAGGTGAAGCAAAGGAACAGGAGAGACACGGCGGGCGCTAGGGCACCCGGCAGCGGGAAAATGGGAAGGCACAGAGAGAAGCCTCACTCGCAGTGACTCACAAGACACTCTTGGGCGTGAGAGCGACCAATACCCAGTCAAGGACCCGTCGTCAATGCCGTCTGAGTCCACAGCCTGCAACTTGTCCGACACGGAAGATCGGGGGCGTAAAGCTGCAAGCGCTGGTGGGGATACGCGAAGCGTCAATCATTTTCATACTTTGGCCACCAAGTAAAGGGGAGCCTCAATCAAGAGCACTACGTTGATTGAAATGGAGCCGCCCCCAAAGAATGTGCGCGTCGCGGCCCAAAAAAACACAGTCTGAAAGTCACCCGCCCTCCATCTGCGAAAGTGCTCGAAGCCTTTCAACGGTTGGCAGCGTGGACCCCAATCATAAAGTTATCGCAGAGGCGCTGGAGGCGCCGCCGGGGGGGGGGGGCAGGGCGGATCCGAGAAATCCGCGCGGAGCGCCAAAAGCTTATGCTTATGGCGTTTTCTCTGCTTCGAGTTAGTGCAGCCCGCGCGACCGCCCAGCGCACGAAGCGCCCACCAAGGCACCCGCGAGCGAGGCGACACCTCGGCACGCCCGCCCCGCGCACGAGGCGCCCGCGATAGGCGCCGGCGGGCGGGCACCTCGGGCGCAACGCCGGCACACGCCCAGCGCACGAGGCAGCCACGAGGCAACCCCCGGACGCTCGGCAGCGGGCGGGCACCACCAGCGAGGAGAGGCCTCGGCACGCCCGCGCGCGGCACCGGGCGGAGCCCCTCGGCGCAGCCCTCGGGCGCACGAGGCGCCCGCGAGGCGCCCACTGGCGGGCGCCGGGCGGAATCGCTGCACGCCCACGCAGCACGAGGCGTCCGCGGGCGACCACCCCTCGGGTACTCAGCGGAGCCCCGACACACCCCTGCAGCTTCCCGGGAGACGTCAGAGAAGTGCACCCCTCCAGCGCACGAGGCGCCCGCGGCGCCCACTGGCGGGCGCCGGGCGGAATCTCTGCACACCCACCCAGCACGAGGCGCCAAGTGAACGTTTTCTTATGGTCGGCGTTTCGACAATCGGCGGACGGAAGTGGGGGAGAGGGGGGGTCTGGCTCCGGGCCTCTGCTAAGCGCGACTGTTTGGAACAGTGCGTCCTATGGGGGAGACTCCACCTGCTCGAAACAGGCGCCAAAAACGCCAAGATCTACTCCATGTGGGGGGGGAGAGGGGGGGGCCGAGGGCCCGCGCCGATCGGCAAAACAATGAACACAAAAAACGATCATCAACAGGCGACCACCCACCGGGTACTCAGCGGAGCCCTGGCACACCCATCCAACTTCATGGGAAACATCAAAGAACGAACCAAACCGAGCAAGCACTGCTCTGGGACAAAAAACATGCGCGCGGAGAACTACCGAGAACCACATTTTGGACAAACTCGCCCTCTATCCGTACAACTGCCGGGCCCTTCTGTAACGCATGTGCGTGACGCTGAAGCGAGGACAGCATGCTGAAAACAACATGCACTCCATCCGTTGAACTGCTGGAGGTTCCAGGTAGATCGAGGTCGACTAATCATGAAGAAGGCTCGGGCGAAGCGCCCGGACCGCCCTACTGACGCGCCCGGTGGTGCGACCGATTGAGAGATGTTCCCAGGGGATGGGCGAGACAGAGAATGAGGGGTGGCAGCGCGAGAAGGCGAAACACGGGAAGGATCAACACGATGACGAGGACGCAGAGCAGGATAGGAATGAGAAGGGGGGCTGAGAAGACGAGCAGCAGAGGCAATAGGAGGAGCAACAGCAAAATACGGAGGAGAAGCAGGAGGAAGGAGAGGAACACAAGGATGATCACGTGCAGGAAGATGAGATAGACTAGCTGGTGGCCAGCAACCGCTCAGGACCCAAGCTTCGTTGGGGAGGTCACGTCAGCGCAACATTCTGCGGCGCTGCATCCGATGTCTGACTTGGCGGTGCTGACAACTTGCCTTCGCCCCTCATCATCTCGACGACTCATGCCACGAAGATGGCATGGAGCGGACGCGGCACTGCATCGAATAGGCGTTCCTGTGGAGGGGGATGCATCAATTCAAAGTTGATCCCTTGCCATCGCTCGGACGTCCATTCCCCGTGCAGTGTTCGGCCTCGTGAGCTTATCTCTTCGCAAGATGATCCCATGTGTTCCTCGAGGGCACTCGCAGAGAAAAAAAACTCAGTCCGAGCGATGCCAAGCTCCACAGGGAGCGGAGGTACTGGAGGTGTTGGGTGTGGAAGGTGGTGGTGGAAGGAAGTAGAGGAAGTAGTTTGGATGAAGTGGAGGTGGCCGCAGCTGAGGGAGAGGACGACTCGTCAGAAGAAGCGCCTGGATCTCACTACGCCAGCAGACTTCGTTGGTCACTGCCCTTGTCAACGATGCTGTTGTAATGGTGGATGACACGGCAGAAGCTCAAAATGTCCCCTAGCAGAAAGAAGGCGCTGCCCCAGATAAAACACCAAGCGCCTAGAGCGAGGAGGTCTGGAGTACACCCAAATCTCGGCAGGAACGTGACAGAGCCCACAGCAAAGAGCAGAGAGCCAATCATGTAGCAAGACGTCGTGCCAGTCACCAGCCTTGAGCTTGTCTCATCAGCCCTTCGTGGGTTCAGGGCATTCACGAACGCGGCCACGACAAACAAGAACGAACCAACGATGAAGAGCACCGTGCCGTAGTACTGCCTGTCCTTTATACTGGAGAGGGCGCAGACCTGGCTCAGAGATATGCTCATCATGCTCATCTCGATGATGTCTACCCTGGCTGGAAGATAGAGCACCGACCCCACGACATACAGCGCAGAACCAGCTAAGTACATGGCATTCTCCCAGATCTCGTAGTTGCTGCAGCGTCTGAGCAGCGCCTCGCTCAGGGTCACCGTGCATATGAAACAGTAGATTACGGAGCCGATGATGAACAACATGCAGCCAGCGAACAGAGTAGCTATGTTGTCTGCGTACTGAGGCACAAAACAGATGCTGCCTGCGATAAAGATGCACGAGGCCGCCGCCCCGGCCGCCTCGAGCAAGTAAGCCCCTGCCTTCGCATTCTCTGTCCTCGACTCTAGGCGTCCTGTGGAGCGCGGCGACGTTAAAAAATCTGGAAAGAGGCGGAAACGCTCGATCACGAGGTGTGGCATCCTCCCTGCTTGCTGAGAAGCAAAGCTACGTATTGTTTTACCGGATGGAGGGTATCATCCTTGAGTCAATGAGCCATCACGGCTTCGGATGAGGGGCGAGGGCAAAAAAAACACTAACAATGATGGCACAGCCTCGCATGCAATCGTAAGGCCAGTGCAACATGTTAGTCATGCTGTGACTGAACCAGGTGCGCCACGTGAATTGCAACGTGTTCGCCACATTCGCACACACATACTTGCATACACGTGTCTGATTCTCATCAAACCACCTGCCAAATGTTCGCGTGTACTTTGTATGTCCGCCTCCCTTTCCCGAGTGGCGCCGTATTATACATAGTTATATACACATATGGAAACTAAGTCTGGCTATAGACAGGCAGCGCGCACTTTGCGGTGGCCCCGTACTGGTATGACAATACGGTGATGCGCCCCACTACTGTGATCTGCTCCGTCTGTCAGAATCGGGCCCTGACTGCTCGAAAGGGTCCAGGAAGCAACGGGAACGGATACGCTGACCCCCCCATCTCCTCATCCCCACCATCACTCCAAATATCGTCATTTTCTCCGCCACGTGTGCGCAAGCGCACACGACCATATCCTCGACACTGGACAGTGTTTCACGGATAATGCTTGCACCAAGAAGCTCCGGTTTGGCTTCGACGTAACTGGCTGGGATTTCTGGGCTTTCGCCCCAACGCCGCCCGTGAACGCCTCGTAGGCGCGTCGAGCGTTGACTAGGACATTAGCTTGAACCACATAGCTTACATGACATTTTTCTTTGATGCACATGGCTTCCACCTTCACATTGCTTACACCACGTGTCACGTGACTTGCACCACACTGCTGCCACTATTCAGCGTTGACAGCACCACTACACAAACTCACTGTTTGCCGCCCCACTAAAGACATCATTGTTCGCGGATCCCGAACCAGGGAACAGCCTTCCAAGCGCCGAAGCCGCGGAAACAAACATTGTCCGCCGCATCTTTCTGTCACGACGCCTGGCGGTCCGTCAGGACCTCCCGAAATCTCCCCGAGGTTCCCTAAACCTCTGCCCCCGAAAGTCTCGCGGAGCTCCTCGAGGCCCCCGGAAGACCGGAAACTTGCCCCATGAGAATTGCGTCCTCGTCGTCGTCGTTCTCGTCGTCGTCGTCCTCGTCGTCGTCGTCGTCGCCGTCGTCCTCGTCCTCGTCGCCGTCGTCCTCGTCGCCGCCGTCGTCCTCGTCGTCGTCGTCGTCGTCGTCGTCGTCGTCCAAGTCGTCCTCCTACTCCCAGGCCGCCTCCTTTGTGACGCGGCCCCCCGGACGCCTCCACCCCTCGACCCTGTTCCAAATAGATCCGTTTCTCCATCCTGGGCCTCAGGCGCGGGCCTCAGGAGACGCGGGACACCAAAAGCGGAGGAACCGCCGGCCGCCGCGACTTTCTGCGCGACGGTGGATGCCTGGGATCCCCTCCCGACACGAAGCCAGGACGAGGACAGATCCGGGCGAGGATGCATCGAGAATCTCGTCCTGGAACGCTCTGGGACGGGCTTTATCCTCGTCCTGGCCCCGTCCGACCTCCCCCCCCCTGGGGCGGGGGCGGCGCGGGGCTGCCGCGAAGAGTGCCCGGCCAGTCATCGAGGGCGCCAGCGGCAGGGCCTCCCACGCCATGGCGCGGGCAGGCACCACGTCGACGCCCTCCTGGGGGAGCATGGTGCGGGGGGGTGGCAGGCAGGCCCTGTGTTGGAAGAGCAGCGGGGCAGGAACAGGACGACGACAACGAGACAAGGACGACGATGACGAGAAGAGCGACGATGGGGCTGGTGATGAGGAAGGGAAAGGGAGGAGGACGCAACTCGCAGCGCAGCCTCCCAAACGAGGTCCCAACACAGAAGCCAAACAACAGCAAGCCTTTGCTGGACGGGAGGACTCCTTCGCACACGTGTTGTGTTTCTTCCTGACGGGTGGCTACCCTCAAGAAGCAATTTACGTCGTTGAGAACCGCACCCCCTGCCCCAGAGTGCTAGGAACCTTGCTTGGGGGAGGGTGGTCCTTGTAGAATAGGAAAACGTGCCGATCGCGGTTGCCTTGCGGGGTCAATGTCAAGCTGCGGCTCTCGGCCCACTCAAACGACGGTTTTGGTGAAAATGGAACTTTGGACACCTCAAGCTGAAGTGCTGTAAGGCGCGTGGCAGGCCCAAGTTTTCCCCCAAGTGTGCCACGCCGGATCCTCCGACCCTCCCCCGGGCGAGCATTGCAGGGACATGTTCTGGCCGTGGTCCGCGCAGCGCGGGGGCGGCAACAATATCTTCGGCGGTGAGATCTACACCCAAGGTTTTGTCGTCCAAACTTGTGGTCCGAATTAGACGCCTGCGTTCCCATGATTAGGTGCTACGCGTCTCATCATGCCCCCCCCCGCTCTTTGATGGTTGATCGGTAATTTTCGCGAGGTCCCATGAAGCTGGGCTTACCTGATGAATTGCGATGTCGCAGGGGTGAGGTCCGAGGTGGCCTCCCGCAGTGCTTGTGCCCTGTTGGCCCCGCGGAGCGGTGGTGGCGTAAATGAGAATGGAATAGATTGTTGCCGGTGCTGGGCGCCCTGGAATTTTGGAGCTGACGGGCGCCTGAAACAATTCTCCCTGGGGCCCGCCGCCTTTGACGTTCCTAAAGGACTCCTTCGAGGAGGCATCCGAACCGCCCCGCGAAGCGCCGTCGCGAAGCGTCGGGCAATACGGGAAAAGAAATAGGGGGAAATTGCGAGCACACCTGCACCCAACCCGCGCGATGAGCCAGAGCAAACGAAATCCAATCCACACGGCTATCAGGGGCAACCTACGTCACACCACATTTCTCTCCTCCACCTTCGATCCGCCCAATGTACGAGGCCCCACTGCGACGAGCGGCGTCAATGTCCTCCCTGCATCCGCGCGCGGCGGGGTTGCCCGCGAGAGCACGGCGGCCCAACACAACGCCTGCGTTCTGCCGAAAGGGGGCGACAGAGACTGACCCCTGTACGCGTTGTTCGGCGCCTTGGCCCCATGGCAGCATCTGGCTTTCGCGGGACCATTGCGGTCCGGTGCGTCCAGCGTATTTCCTCCGTTGGCGCGCGAAGTCTCAACGCGCCTCCGCGTCTGCCTGGCCCTGGTCAGACCTCTCGCGTAGGTCCCAGGCAGTTGCAAGGCCCAGCCTCTCGCGCAATCAGGGCAGCGGAACATCCGAATTCCAGCCGGAGAGGCCGCGGCACTCAGCGGCCAGGCGAGAAAGGCGCGCGCTCGGGGCAACAGCGCGGTAGAAGCGGCTCCCGCTGTCACGCGAGATCGGCCTCGCAACCTCTTGAAGCGCTGGGCGAACGACGCTGGGGCGCTCATCTGGCGCCCGAAGCCAGTGGGTGCCGCCCGCGCAAAAACCGACGCATTGAGCCATCCAGTTTTGCGCTGGCGGCGCTGACACGACGCCCACGAGATCTCTCATCAAGGAAGAACCAAGGCCGAGCGGGAGTAGGTGTAAACTTTTGATACGTGAGTCATGTGAGCTGGAGGGGGCGGCGCTTTGCCTGCACGTCTAGGAACAACGGATGACAAACATGGCACCACCAACTGCGAGGCGCTTGTCGCGAAGAGGCTTGCCGATGCCAAAATGACGTTGCGAGGTGGCCGATCGCCCCTGGAGGTTTGCATGTTTCGACCGTGGTTTTGTTTTCAAGGCCGGGCTGCCTGACAGAGACACAGCCCGCTGGCCGAGTGGGAATTGAACCGTTCGGAGAGCGTCAGGGCAGCGTGTACCAGGCATGCGCGAGGGAGTTATTTTCGCCTCCCCGCCTTCTAAAGAATTTCCGAGCTGGGTCCACCAGGTGGTCTCCCATCCAGGAACCTGACAATCCCTCTGGAAGAGACGCAGGCCACTCGAGAGGCCGACGCAGCAGCAGCCACAAGGAGCTCATGAGCACAGGCGATCGTGAGCCCCAATCAACAAGACCTCCTGCCCTTGTCACAGGCCCAGGGCACGCAGCGATGCTGAGTGGGATCCCAGAGCCGTCCAGGGTGGAGATGTGGGCGAGGATCATAGAACCCCTCGGCTCCCACGAAGCCCCACTCGGCTCTTCTAGTTCGGTGGCCAGCAGACAGGGCGACGTCAATGACGCCTCGATAGTCTCTGTCTGCCCTCGCGGGCAATACCCCGTTGTTGCGTGGTCCACAGGTGCTGCCGACGACACGGAGTGCGTCTTCGGTCCGGCTGTTTCTCAGCCGCTCTGGGAAAGGGGGACGAAAAATTGCATACACATAAAAACTAGGAGGTCCGCGCGAATTTCTTGGATCCGCGCTGGACCCCCCTCCCTCATCGCGCGGAGCGCGCCAGGGGCGGCGCCAGAGGCGCCGCCAGGGGGCCCCAGCGTCGATCCGAGAAATCCGCGCGGACCTCCGAGTTTTTATGTCTATGTATGTCATTGTTCGTTCCCCTACACTGTCGGCGTTCAACCTTGAAAGCCCGCGATGGGGTCGTCGCCACGCCGACACGGCACGACGCTGCCGCGCGGCCAATGGGGACCAGCCGAGATGCCCGCGATGCTGGTCCGCTTCCGTCTTGCGTTAGGTCGGGCATGTCCCCCTACGGGCAGACTTAAGGCGAAACATGTTTTTTCATGTTTATGGCATTGTTCGTTCCCCTCTTGGAGCCAACGAGTTGTGGGCGCGCCGGCGGGCCACTCCCCCTGGCAGGTCCGCAGCTCGGCGACGCTATAGAGCGCGCCCTCTCCCCTGCAAGGGCGGCCTCACGCGGCCGGGGGGCCGGCCGTGGGGGCTCCCTCTGGGCCCGCCCCGAGGAGGAGGAGGAGGAGGAGGAGGAGGAGGAGGAGGAGGAGGAGGAGAAGGAGGAGGAGGACGGAGGGGGAGAAGGAGGAGGAGGAGGAGGAG